AAATTTATGAGTTTAAATATTTTGAAAATTAACCAACACTGTTCAAGTAATCGTCCATCTAGCAAACAATGTAAATATTCCTAACAGCCAAATACATGCATCTTGAAATATGTCCAAGAAATTACATCACTGTATTAACAATTGACAAAGTCTTAACTATTTGGTTTCCTATTTTAGAGTTTTACAGATTACTACGCACAGTATCCGGCAAAATGAATCTCCAATTTAAATGGCATTCTCGAATAATTAGAATTTAAGAATTTTATAAATGATCCAAATGTTAAATTTTGAGGGTAACAAATTTTAAGACACTCTGCCCAGTTTGAAACAATTGAGATTTTAATTTTGGAAAAGCAACAATCAATATATCGGATGTTTACAATACAAACTACATTTAACAGTAATTTTTCTTTTTTCTCCACTTAATATTTTGTGACCTAGAGAGAGAAAAATATCATTAAAAACTCAATTCGAATTCTTCCCCCCCCCCAACATTTACACATGGGCCATTCATAATTAAATGCAGGCAGGGATACGAGGAAAATCTAATCATCACTGTATTAATAAAAACAAAATACAAAAAGACAGGAAGTAGGAAGGAAAGGAATAAAAAAGTTGGAGGACAAAAACATAAATACACTCACCTTGAGGAGAAAAAGAGTTGAGCCAGCTGCTATGACGTCACACAATCGTGTAGGTTGTGATGACGTAAGCGTTGACGTCACACGAGCTCCACTGAGATACCACCAGCTGTGTTCACAGAAGCTAAAACACTTGTGAACGCAGGGAGGTACTCGGCAGAGCACGAGTTTTTTCCAGTTAAATCGCCAAAAATTTCAATTTCTAAAGTTTTCTTTTCTTTATGTAAACATTACATAAACATTGATTCTACTTACTTTTGTATATCAAGAACACGAACATTAATTTAAAACTCCTGGTAAATATCGAATCATGTAGTTAGCAACACAGATAAAATCTTTCGAGGATCAAATATGTTTAGAAAGTGAATCGAATCGGACTTAGCGGTTTTAATCCCTTTCTCAGGTTAAAAAACATTTAGAAATGTTATTTAAAGAAAATGCATCATTATTTAGCAACAATACTGGAACAAGAAGCAATTTACTCAAGAAATGCTGTATACTAAAGTATCAAACCGGATCTTGTCCTTGTCATTCGACATTAACATTTATTATTCGCAAATGCTAATTTGTTTTAACTGTAATAAATCAATTGTAATTTTAATACTGAAGGAAATAATAATTATTTTTTAAGAGTTCAAACCATTTCAGGTAGTTATTGTAAAAATCATAGAAACCCAAAATAATCACAATTATTATATATTTAAACTATACCTGCTTCAAAGAAAAGCTAAAAAAATAAAGCTTTCGCTAAGAAAATAATAATTTTTTTTGCAATATTGATCTTTAATTTACCAGCCATATTTTCCGTTGTATCATTACATATTAAGCAATACATATACTATATTGTAATTAGCATTAAAAGATATTTTATGTTAAATTTTTCCGACAAAAATAATGTTTTCAAATAAATAATTAGAAAGAGCAATTAATCCAATATTATTAACTCCTGTTTTTATGTTCGTTCTCTCCTGGAGGTAAGACTAAGTAATAAAAGTCAATGACTTAAAATAATATTGGAACAAACAGCGTTTTTAAATAATCTGAGGATACTAGAAACATCACTGGAATTATATAGCGCTTTACTTTTTTATTTACTCTTACCAAGAATATTGATTTGATTAAAAAATTATTTTGAATGTAGTTAACATTAATTTTCTTACATAATCGGATGAAAGTATTAAGCGGTTCACATATTTACACTGACTGCCCTTAACACAATTTATATTCAGAATCTGTTTTTCTTCTGAATTAATTGCTGATAAAGTAGTTTGCAAATTTGTTTTTAGAAACACAAATACATACCGTTAATAGCTAACTATATTTGATAAAATAATATCTTCAACATGGGTTATTTGCAGAGAATTAATAATTAGTTTTATAGATAATGAGAAAACAGTTTTATGAATGCTGATGCTACGACGAAAACAAATGCCTACTGCATTTATGAACAAGGTCAACAACAACATAACATCCAAGAATGGACATTCCTGTCACATAATGCGATCTTAGCCGATAAGGAATAACATTCAACCTACGAAACAATTTACGATGGCGTTCGAATACTTAAAGAAAATTACATTAAAAAAAAATGGAAAAAAAACCCTTACATGACCTTCGGCAAGTTGCGTATTACAAGGGAACGTGAATTAAACGAGTTATGTACCTCACAATTAAAAGAAATCTTAACGGATAAGGGCAGGTGGTATTTCCCTGGAGCAATCGTCATGTTTCACTTTCTAAAGGTTAAAAATAGCATACGATTATTGATTGTTAAATATGAAACCTAATTTCTATTAAGGAAATAGGGAATTGCGGTTAACTTACCACTAGGAAAATAAAAGTACCTCATTCTTAGAATGAACACATTTTTAGAAAGCGGAAATTGCACAAAAGGGTGCAAATTAATTTATTTGCTATGCCTTTGTAATGCTTAAAAATAGCATACGATTATTGATTGTTAAATATTAAGCCTAATTAGTATATGGGAATAGGGAATTGTGGTTATCTTACCATTAGCAAAATAGAAATACCTCATTCCCAGAAAAAACACATTTTTAGAAAGCGGAAATTGCACAAAAGGATGTAAATTAATTTAAATGTCAAGAAATGCAATTGATTCCTTATTTCTAAAAACAGACAACCTTCTGAGACACTAAAATTCCAATTATTCAAACTCCAAATATCAGAAAATAAAATTATTTATATCAATATTACTTTTTTCTGGCCACGTAATTCTAGTTTGTTGACAATTATTTACGCGTTCTTAATGATATAAAATGATAACAGTGCAGAGTCCTAAGTTATTAAATGAATTCATACGAATGAGTACAATGCATTGTAAAGTTTTGTTTAGTTTATCAGCCAGTCAGTTAGCTTATGTTAATTAGCTTTCCTGTCCTTCTCGTTCCTCCATTTTCCTGCCAGAATGCAAATTACTAGCTCGCCTGTATTCAAATGGGGTAGAAGGGGAACACTATTTAAAGGAAGGTTTTAGAAGGTAGAATTAAAGCGTGTTCTGCTTGATGAAGACCACACTGCTAATTTGATTCCCTTGACAGCAGTTTCTGCGGTGTTGCGTTATTCTAGCTTTTAGGCTTGTCACGCCGACTTTAGGTCAGAGCCAACTCGCGCGTTCTCTAATTGTGTAGCTGTTATGCTAAGTTAAATTTACTTAGCTAAATTAATTTCCTTATTTTCATTCAAGACAAAAATGCTGGCTTTTGTAAGCACTAGTGGTGCCTTCAGTTAACATTTAATTGAGTTAAATAAAAGGGTCCTTTACACACTTTCGTAGTTTCTGTCATACCTTAAACACAGTGATAATTCAAAACCATACTTTCCGAATATCGGAATAGCCATGATTCCGGTCTAGATATCTGAAGCTGTAAAGTATTTTCAGAAATGTTACTAATTCAGTCTTGGGCAATAAAATTTACACATTCTCTAAGAAATTCCCCCATTGTAAAGCTAACCAATCACTACAATTACTCAAAATTATGAAAGTAGATCTTAATGACTAATGTTAAATAATTATAGATTCAATGTTATTCTTAATATTAACCAATAATTTGCTTACTAAAATAACAGAAGACTTTTGTTCTAAACAGGAAACGAAAACAAAGTGCCTAAAATAGTACAAAAATCGCTCACTCCTATAAAATATGTACATGAAGAAGTAGATAGATACGCAGAACGTAGGACGAGGAACCTAGGGCCAGAGATCTGTTTGGCTGCAGTACGTTTATTTAAATTTAATATATTGCATTTTATCTAGTAATAGTCTGAAACGAAATTTGTACTTTACCTTTTCAACTGTAAGTTCTATATGCATATTTAACATGGAAAATTATAAAATTACATCTATATTTAATATGCAAAAGCTAAGATAAAGCTTAAATCAGATTTATAAACTTAAGATACCTTGTATAAGACTCAAGTTACAAGCTTAGTAGAAAGCAGAAACAATGGTTGAGATTTTAGACACAGAGAATATCCATCAAAATGAAATCCTAAAATGGTTGGGATTGTTTTTCAAACTAGAAGACTTTAAAGCTACCAACGTTACTGGTTTTAGTCTTAATTCTCTAAAATTTAAAATTTTGTTTTCATAAATATCAAAGTTCGTATAATTTTTAGACGAATTGCATAGTACTTACAGAAATATTTCACCTAATTTTTTTGTACTAAATATTAAATTTGATAACTTTTTATTCTTCACTACCTTCCGACATAGTAATTTCCAAGACAATAAAAAATAAAACCTTTTGTAGTACCAGAAGAGGTATTTTATTCCATTCCTCTGGAACAGCTTTCCGAAGTCCAAGGAGGGATCTGGGTTGACGTTTAAACAATCCGATTTTTAAAAGTCCAAAAGTGCAAAAATTCGCGGGTGGTACATCAGGAGATTTAGTAGGAATATCAGTGAAGGGATATTCCTACTTGATACCCGTTTCTTGTTCCATTTTTTACAGAACCGGAAAAGAGCTCAGAAATTCTCTCTCAGTAGAGCGTGTTAAACATGCCTGTTAGGTTTAATTAAAGAACAACTCGGTTATTTACCGTTGTACAACTTCGGCTAAAAGTTAGCTACTTAAAATTAGTTTAGTTTCTTATTTTCTACTTTATGTTAGTGCCCAAGTGGAGGTTTTCCTGTAAGCCCGACAGAAGTCATCTGTTAGAATTTCTTTGAGTGAATAAAAGGGCATTTTAACCCTTCTTTGAAGTTCTATTTTGTAGCTGTAATAAGACCATCGAATAGTCGCTAGACATTTCCTTAAGGTTCTAGTTGCTAAGGTCACGTAAATTAGCTAGAACTTTATAACATTTATTTTTAAAGAGCTTAATACAAAACCTACTTACCAAGATTAAATTTTGTCAGAAATCTTCAACAGAACCCTATAAAAGATAATAATCAGTTAGTCAAATCCAGGCTTAAAAACTACTAACATAAATAATTTTAACAGAAACTTATGTATACAAATAATTAAATCCACAATACAAGCAGTCTGAAATTTAGGAATGTATAAAAGAGTAAACTATGAAAAAAACAATCAAAATCGATTTTCTAATCGCTTCATTAAATTTCTTGCATCTAGTTAAAAAAAATAAATAAATAAAAACTTCCGATTCATAATACTAAAAAGCTTCAAGTTAATATAATAAAATACTTAGCGCCTCCCTCCTTAATTAATCTCTCGATTAATATTGTAAGGAATCATCAAATTCCCACCCCCTGCTCGTCTCATATCCGAGTGGTCAGCACCATCCGCTTTTAACTGGAAGATCTATAGTTAAATTTCTGCCAAGATCAGAATCGGGTTTTCACGATTTTTGCTTTTTAAAAAAAAATCCACAGCGGTGCCCGAACTACAAATGCAATGGATGATGAACCACATGGGTTTAATGCCTCTTCCCAGTCGGTCTTTTAAGTGGATGAGATCTCATTTTGCGTAGTTAAGTATAATACTTTGCACGGCTAACTATTAATTGCAGGGTTTGTGGTTCGGATCTTCGTAAATGTAGAGTTGCATTTCACGTTTTTCCAAGCGACTCCACGGCACCCCCCCCGAAAAAAAACTAACAGTCTCTAAAACATTACTAGTTAGTAACAAAAAATGAATTAATTACTCATATCTGAGAAAATTGAAATAAATAATATTAATATCTTTAATTAATTAATTAAAAAATAAAAAAATTAAAGCATTAAGCCTCATTTCATTTCAACATAATTTAGTACTACTTAGTACAAGTTAGTTCTCTTCCAGATAAAGAATTTCAGATTCTGGAATCGAAAATAGTGTATACAAAACGTGCTTTTTAAAGGCTTGCTACAATTAAAATTTTCTGTCTTCAATATTAAACGTAATTAAAATTTTACATTCAGTTGCTTTTAACAGTTTTTAGATTTCCAGCTTTTACAACATATATTATTTTAAGCTCCGCGCATTTGCTGATAATAGTTCAAATAATCTGCACCTGCACACTGATCAAACCTACAGGGCCGTGTCACAGGTCAAAGAGAGCAAGAATGTAGGTCGTTTTTAAGTTTTAAATCAAGTAAATTCAAGGTTCTTACAGGAAAAATCAACGTAAAATTAAATAAACGTTCTAAATTCTTTTTACTCTCAACAAACAATTAATTACTTGAAGTAATCGGAACTAAAAATACAAAAGTAAGTGAAAAATAAAGCATTTAAAACAGACTTAAGAACCCTAAAAGAGAAATCTTTTGTCAAGTCTCTCTAATTTATTAATTAAAATACTCTAGGTAAATTCAAGGTTATCTCTCACAAGCTGTCGAAGTCGATTGTTCCAAATCCTTGTCTAAATAAACCGTTAATTACGCGCTGCCGGAGGGAAAAAATTCAAGGTCTAGATAATTTCCTTATCCATGCTTTATTCATGCTGTTAAAGAAAACGTTACAAAAGGAGAAAAAATGACTGCGTAATCATTAATATCTCTATTAGCGACCAGAACTTTAAAACTACGGATTACAGACAAAGACTGAGGGAATAAATCTCTTAAATAGAAAATAGAAATCATTTCCGTATGTTATTTTTTAAAAATATTTATGATTATTTGCAGAGAAACTGTGTGCAGTTCGCAGTTTTAAACTCAATATAATTCTATAAACGTTCTTGAATGATAGAACACATTTCAGAGGATCACAGCCAAAATAAATAGTAGCGTTTCAAACTAATTTATAGAAAAATATTTTTTTAATACAAACAGAGAAGAAATCTCGGGAAAAAAATACCGAAATACAGGATGGCGCATACCATATCTACCAATTTTGAATAACAGCAGAAAGTTGGTGAGCGCTGATAGCAATTCTATATAATTCTGAAGTAACTGCATACATATTGGCATTTAAGGCGTGATATTAATACAGATATCAGTGACCTTAAAATTAATATAATTTTCTGCTTGGATGCACTGTTTAAGCCGATATGGGACAGCTTTCAAAACATATCTCAACAAGTCCTTTGGAATAGAATATATTTTCATTTTTGTCTCTACCTATCTGGACATGTTCATCGGAGTACACCTACCAGTACTTGCGTTTGCGGTTGTAGCGTCCTGTTGGAATCAAATTTTATCAGTCAGAACCAACATGTCCACCAATCTGTCCTATAATTCTAGATAATATATAATAATATTCAGTATCCGCTGAGCGTCGGGAATCCAGATTGTTTGACTGAAGGCTTCCACTGACGCAATATGCTAATATACCGGCCACTGGTCTATGGTATACCTAATTGGCTAACTTGTTAGCCACACATGCAACCTGGACAGAGTTTACCCCTAAAACTGATTGACAAAATATGTGCCACTGGGTATCATCTCATAGCAAGATTTATCTTTCTCTAACTGTTTATCCTACCAGCTCCTCCTTTCATAATTTTGTCAGAATGTTTAAATGCTTTCATATTACCGTTATAATGCTATATAAAATAATTAGCAAGCGTTTAATCCCTACGGTAATAATTTTGTAAAAGCAGCAGCCGAATATAAAATGCTCGTTTTTACTGTACAGCGCTTCCTTCTTGTTACTACAACAGATTTCTCCTTTTATGCAGTTAAAATGGTTTAAAAAAGTTTGTTTTGGTTCTTAACTCCTAGTTTGACGAAGAATATCTTCATTATCTGACATAACTCCGGCTGGAATGCATGCCCATTAAACAGTTGTTTTAATGACGTAAATCCGTTAACAGATATAGAACCAGACACACTAAAATAGCTATACCAGTTTAGAGGCAATTGATTTAAAGCACGCGGATTCTCTAATCTGATTCACTAAAATTCCTTGAAAGCTATGTATATTTAGAAAGCTAGCACAATCAAGATGTGACAGATAATATATGTTTTACTTTCCTTTGTCTTGGATTTACAACATTTCTTGCGTTTTTAACTTCTAACCTGAAAACCTGAAAACAACACTGTCAAGAGCAAGGTTTTAACCTGAAAACAACACTGTTAAGAGCAAAGTAAATTTAGCTTCCCGCACACTATATAAATTGCAATAATTAACTTCAACGGCAAGACAATTTATTACGTTAAAACACGCGACGCAGTCTAGCCTCAGGTGAAATGCTTTTCTAGAGAATCTGCAAAAGAAATTATTTCTTATGGAATAATGATTTTTTATTACTTAAAGATTCATCAAGCGATTAAAAATTCTTCGATTACCGATAGTTGACAAGACTTGCTCAGTGTAAAACCAAATTTAAAAGGAGTAATCCGTGAGGACTATTAGGGTTTTCAGCGCAAGAAGGGTGAAACATCAACTATGCTTTGTCGGGATTCGAACAGAAGTTCTTAAAATTTTTAGTTCGATGTGCTAACCTTTTTCACAATCATAGCATGTAAACAGTTAAATAAAAACACGAAACACAACTGTATGTAATTCTAAGTACGGATCTTCCAATAGCTAGCGGATGGGAGTTTACGTGGTTTTCCCCAAGCGTAACGCATATATGAGCTATTTTTTCTTCGAAAGTCTTCTATGAATGTATTTTCCCTCCCTTTAGGCAGATAGTTCAACTGTGCTTTGCCTTTAAAAACGAACCCAAGCCAATCCAACAGATAACTAAGTGCCTACCCATTACACCAGACAGCACACATGGGTACTGCGATAATTCCTTAGAAGTTCATTCAGCCATTTTAAGGTTGTAAATCATCTGCTATCTCATTTCATAGAAATCTGATCTATTTCACAAATAAACACATACCACTGTAGAAATACATCAATTACCAATAGGACAAAGCTAAATGAATGTCAACAAGTAACCCAAAATACAAGGTATAACTTCTGTTCCTTTACTTCGTTTTCTATAGTAATAATAAAAGCTTCATCATATAGAGACAATAAAAATAAGCTATTAAATACTTTACCCCCAAGTAGAATACCTCAGTTTGAAATTCAAGCAGAACGAAGGTGACAATTATGTGTCCCCCACAAGGCTCTCTCTTAGTACACAGTTTTTGCGTGCTTTTTCAAAATTAAATACTACCTATTCTAAAATAGTCAAGAAAACCAGATCATTCAATCATGGAATACAAATAAAATGTTGTAATCCCCAAATCGGCTAATAGGCTGTTAGGTAAATAGCAGATTGTAAAACTGGCAACAGGATTCTGCTAAAGGTAAAATTTAATGTAATTTTTTTTATGTTTTTTAATTACATAAAAAATGGTTCGAATCTCAAGTAAAAACGACCAGAACACTAAAACCTGTTAAGTGATGCTCCACACCTCCGCAAATAAAAAACAAAATTCTTTAGGGCATATTTAACGGTTCTGACATGAATATATTAGATAAAACACTTTTCATTAACTCTTTTTATTGTAGATTTCCTTCATCAGATAATAAATAATGATAAACCACTTGTGACTTGACAGCTCATGATAAAAACGCGTAAGTGATGACACCAGAATTATGCGTTAAAAAAGTTTTCTTCTTTAGCTAACTTTCTTTCTACAGTTTTTTTCTGCAGTCGTTAACTTGAACAGTTGATTAAATTTTTCTTATTTTAAACCTTATGTTCAATAGCCACAACTGTCTGTTTATTTTTACACCTTTTAAAAATAATGAAGTATATCAAAATTAATCTATTTCTTTAATATTAACAATGAAACTATGCTCTGAGTATTATTATAAAACTAATTTCCAAGTATTACAGAACGTTGAATCAAAATGAGGTATGAACGGGTTTTTACTCAGCCTAAAGCCAAAGTTATGTCATATAAAAACAAATTATTAAATTTGTAATAATTATTAAACAAATTATTTTCATTTTTAAGAATCAGTTTTTTTAACCCTTGACTTTTGAACACGCGGAATTTTAAGGACATCTGAAGCTCAGAAACATGGATTACCATTTCAATGATTTCC